TTTTTTCTTCTGCCTATAACGTAAGTCAGTCTAATCTTCTTTCGTATAAAACATCCCTAGAGAACTTCTTTTATTTTCGCTCTTGAAGATTCCTATTAAGCTGCTCCTTAATCTCACGTAAATTTCTTTGCGAACGGTTGCCGTAAACTTCGTCGCTAGACAACCAATCGCCGCCGTGGCAAATATTAAATTATAGAACAGTACAAGTTCAAAGTTACCAAGCCATTCGATACGACCAAAATCGCCGAGCAAATCAAAGTTTGTCATACCTGAAACAAATGATTCAACGATGCATTACCAGTGAAAAATCAATGATAGACCTACTTTGTTTTAGTTTTCTTCTAATTGAAAACCACGACTAAGAACCATAACAAGCCACATTTGGCATTTTACACGACATACAGAATACAATTTTTAAATTTATTTGGTCTTGGGATCAAATACATGTTTTTGTCATTTTCTTAAATAATTCAAAAATGTTAATAAGACCGCTTATGCGGACTAATTAATCAATTAAATTAAACTAACCAATATTGCTATTACATTAATATTGTTTTTCACAAAACGTTGCAGAATTCATCTGTCTTTTCAACAAAATCAACAAAAATGGGCTTATCATACTTTCCTCGCGTGATCTTTAACCATTAATGAACAGATTTACCTAATATTCGAGATAACAGTGGCAACGCCGAGCTCAATACAAGAAGGAGAGCGCAATTCGCAATAAGGTGAGTAAGTGGCGTGGAATGAAGTCGTGGTCGAAAGCTCTTAACACCAGGAAGTGTGTACAGACCTATTGCACTCGTAGCAGCTAGATACAAAATTACTGCCACTTCGATTGTTGCACCAATAGGACCTAGTTTTGACAACGAGCTGATGCCCAGAGTGAATTGCTAAACATTTATCGACATTTTATTTTTTATTATTGCTTTTTCAAATGAATAGTCAGACGTGAAAGTATCGTCCGTTTTGTTCTGATATTGATTACGTTTAATTTGCATACTAACCCTTGTGCTCAAAGGCAACGCTTTAATACCAATAAGCAACTCTAGTGTGTTTTGAACTGCTAGCAGAGCAGTGGCAGTGGAAAGTACAAGTAGCGCCAGCATGGCTAAAGGGTACAGCAAAGTCCTGCGAACCCACCAGGTCCGCCTTTGCTGATCCAAAGTACTCCTGCGTTTCTGAATATCTTCCAAACGTTGGGCCAATCCGCGCTGGAGAGCACCGTTCCTCAAGCACATCAAGCTCGGACTTGTGTTAAGAAACTCATCATCCTCGAACACCAAACCGCAGGCTGGTATCGACATAGGCACTGGCGAAACGTATGATTTTCCCGTTGCTCTCGCGTGTTGCAGTCTATATACATATACATATAATAATAATAATAGTAATGCTCTTATGAAGCGACTATAGACGTGTTCGTGAATTTGTGGACGGTGGAAATAGTAATCGATATAGCTGACCTTCTACGAATGCAGTCCTCCTCCAGTCTGTACGCGAAAAACTCTTCATCTAAATTTTTTAGGAACTGCGGTTTTACCAGAAATGAGCCAACCACTCCGAATAATCGCACAAATCCCATTGGTGTACATACTGCAAATTATAATATACTTTAACATAGATAATAACACACACACACATACACACACAGAGTAATAAAATAGCGTTGGGATGAAAATCTTGGTGGTGTTGGGCTAAGATTTTGAAAATTTCGATACTTTTTATTTAGACATTTTTATGATTTTAAAAGGTACGATAAATCTTTTACAACAATAAATATAGATCGCTATTTGAATTGCTGTGTATAAAGATAGCAATTAATTGATTTACATCAATTCACCATGATTATCAGTCATCCAATTAGCAGCAGTAAATTATTGATGCACGTGTTGCACACTGTTTCAATGATTACTTCACTATATATAATTTTGCGTAATTGTTTAGTTATACTTACGCAATAACATAACAACTCCAACAAAAGAAACGCAAGAGTAAAGGAAAGGTAAATAGTAAGTCGATAAATCTGAAATAATAAGGATAGCGGTAATCTTTGTAAATGCACCTTGAACTTGTAAAACATTCCATACTCACTGAGCAATGTATGAAGGCTGGACTTTTGATGATCAATGAGCGCTGATAAAATATATGTCATTCCTAATACGAGTGTTCCTAATAGGCAAAGGACCGTCACAGTTTCATAAACTCTGGCCATTACACCCTGCAATTAAAAATTTTTTTTTAAAGCATTCAAAACACCACGCGATTAACCTCTTACAATTAGCCTTACCTTTTTATAGCCAACGAATCCTTCTGACTCCGTGAACAAGTATGCGAACGGTAAAAATACGAAGAGAGATAAATTTGAAAAGAGAAACACATGATTCCATAGACCTGATTATAAATAACAAACAGTTATAAATAGTTACAGTTATCTCGTACAAAAGATGTGGCAACCATTCCTTTTTCTAGATATTCAGATAGGAGGTTTAAAAAGAAGAGAAACAATACAAAATAAAGCTCAAGGAAAATATAATGATAGTGATCATAGTAACAATAATGTATAATCATATAGGACGCATATTTGTTCCATAGCATTATTTGGACATTTGGATAAAAGATTTTAAGAAATATTTAGAAAAAGGATTTCCCCACCGTTTCTTCCCTGAATATATACTTGAGAAATTATTATATACAATATATATATTATATATATATTATATATATTATATTATATAATATATATAATATATAATATAATATATATATTATA